CTCCCCCATTCATGCTCTGTCTCTCTCTCTGTCTCAAAAGTAAATAAACGTGAAAAAAAAATCAAAAAAAAAAAAAAATAGAGAGGCAAGCCAGAAGAGACTCTTAAATACAGAGAACAAACTGAGGGTTGCTGAAGGGGAAGTGGGGGGGGGGGGGGGCTAAATGGGTGACGGGCATTGAAGATGACACTTGTTGGGATGAGCACTGCGTGTCGCATGCAAGCAATGAATCACCGGCTTCGACTCCTGAAGCCAAGACTACACTGTATGTTAACTAACTTGAATTTAAATAAATAAATTCAAAAATATATGCATAAACCCGACACTCTGTGTGCCTCGGGATTGCTGATTCCCTGAAGCGGACCCATGATGGGGCCCTAGAGCCCCTCCCAACCTCCCAGCACTTGGTCCGCTCTGCGAGGTGGTTTGGTCCCACGCAGGGCGGCCCCTGCGGTCGGGGTTCCACTCCTGGCTCCTCTGCTTGCCGGCTGAACCACCCCGGTTCCCCATTTCTTCCCTGTGCATGTGGCGGGGCTAACAAAGCCACCTACCCGACCACAGGTTTCTCACCTGCGGCAGGTGTGGTCAGGAGGAAAGGAACACCTCAATTTTGGAGCATGTTCCTGGGTCTCACTATTTTAAGTTGCTGAGTCCCTACTCGGGTGACTTCCTTCCAGTGACCGCATGACTTTTTTATGACCTGGAAGGGACCAGAGAGCCACGGATCTGTTCCATCCCGAGGAGGGGGAAGGAGAGAACGCTCTAAGTGTGGTTTCAGCTTTGAGCCTCAACCCTGGCCACTGGGCTGGAATCAACTAGAGTCAATGGACAGAGGATACCGATATCTGCTTCCAGCTGAGACGCTGCGAGGGGGTACTGGGGGCAGGACCTGGGTCGCTGGTCTTAAAAGCTCCCAGGGGATTCTAATGGCAGCGGCATTTGGGAACCACTGGGTCTAGACTGGTCGCTCTAGGGACGGCCCAAGGCAAACACAAAACTGAGCTCCTGTGCCACAGGTGGGCTTGTTCAACACGGCCTTACAGCCTAGAACGTGTGATGAGCGCTCCTGGGCCCTCTTGTTCATTTCTGCCCATGCGGCAGCTTCCTGAAATTTCACTCTCTCCTCGCATCCTGGAGGTCTCAGGGTCTCTGCGCTTCTTGCCTGATGGTGGGCTTGCCCCAGAGCAAGCATCCTGGGGGTTGTCGGTGGAAGCTACGGTCTTCTTAAAGCTAATCTCGGAGGCTCCAGAAGGCCCTTCACACGGCACTCTCCTGGTCAAGAAAGTCAGCCCAGGTTTAAGGGGAGGGTAATGAGATTCCCCTCCGACAGGGGAAGAGGGGAACATGGCCATCTTTGGAGAAGGGCTACCCCACCAATGACACCGAGATTTGGGGCTCAGTCCTCAAAGTCTGTGTCGTCCCCTGGTCTCCAGCTCCCTGGGGGTCTGGGCAGCCCTGTCCTCTTGGCCACCACTGGCCAGAGAGAAACAGGTACTCCTGTGTACTGTTGGATGCTCCAGGGGGCTGTGGGGACACAGGGATTGTGCAGAGTGGGACTGGCGTGCCTCCCAGGGCGAGGAAAGGGCAGCTGAGCATCACTCCAGGGCTCAAGGGTGAGGTGGGGTCCACAGGCTGAGTCTTCACATCTTCAGTGCCCACAGCCTCTCTTAAGCCCTAACACGCAACCCCATGCACTCACACCAGGGAGGGCACCTCCCTCCACCACCAGGGAGGGCGTCAGAGGAGTTGCTGGATAACCACTGACCACTCTGGCCATCCATAAAGGGTAGCTTCGTAATGCTTGGCTGTTGAGAGGCAAATCTTTCTGAAATGGCTTATATCCTGCGGGCCTTTTAAAGCCACGAAGAGGGGACGCCTGGGTGGCTCAGTCCGTTGAGCGCCCGACTCTTGATTTTGGCTCTGGTCATGATCCTGGGGTCACGAGGTGGAGCCTTGCAAGCATGGAGCCCACTTAAGAGTCCCCCTCTCTCTCCCTCTGCCCCTTTCCCTGGTTCGCACACCCTTTCTAACAAATAAATCAATAAATCAATAGATAAAAGCACAAACAGGACTCACACTTCACAACCTTGGGGGGGGGGGAGTCTTGGAATCACAGGGATGTCCTTTCATCCAGTCAATTAATCAAGCAGGTGGGCACTTCCAGCTCCGCTCAGGCCTCCAGCCTCTATGCTCCACCAGGGCTGGGATCCTCCCAAAGCACTGCTTCGATTATGAACCACTGCCCGCTCAACAACCTGCAATGGCTCCCACTGCCCGCTGAGTCACGTGAACTTCTCGCTCAACGGTCAGCCCCCCTCTCTCTCAGCGTGTCCTGTGCCCTCACCTCCCTCCTTCCTGAAGGAGTCTGTGAATATATTCTGGGCCTCCCTCCTCCTGCCTCTCTGCCTAGAATCCATCAGAGATCTGTCTGTAGTTCTAATCCATCAAAACTCAAGTCCTCCAAGTCCTTGACAGGTTCACAGGCAGGGCATCCTACACCCTGAATGCGCTGTTCTCCTGTCCTCGTCTTTCCACGCGCATACGTCGTGTCTCGCCCCATCCAATCATCTAACAGAAACTTGCTGAGGGCCTACTATGCGCCAAGTATCTTGGTCCCCCCAGCCCTGATCCATTCCCCTTGCTGAGGATGGCGTGGCTCATCATTTCTCCAGTCCTCTATAAGCACCCAGAAAGAATATCTACGTCCCCTTCCACTGTGCCCTCCAGCACCTTGGTCCCAGTGCCGGGCACGGAGCTTGGCACAAGACGGGGACTCAGCTTTTGCCGAACAAGTAGACGGAAGCATTAACATTCCTCCGTCAAACTGCCCACTGCTTCTGCGTGGGGACAGCAACTTGGTGTCACACACCTGGTGGTCCCTGCACGGTCCGAGCACGTGTTGAGCGTTCCCAGAAGCCGGGCACGGAGTACTGCAGATAAAAGAGGCAAAGTTCCCACCCTCGTGGGGATAACAGGTGCACAGCAACACCAGAAGGCAATGCATCCTGGTGAGACCACTTCCTGGCAGAAGGCAGAAGAGATGACTCCTGTCTAAACATGTGCCCCTGGCCCTTACAGTGTGTCTTCCTCAGGGGAGAGCGGCAAAGAGGAAAACCCAGCAGCTGTGCAAATACTCAGACCCGGGTTTAAAACCCAGTTCTCCTCCTTAAAATGGTGTGCCCTGGGTACATGATTAATCCTGCTGAAGTCTGATATCCTGATCTATAAACGGGGGAATAATAGCACCCACGTCACAGACGTGTAAGGATTTACTGTAACCCCAGCATCCCTGCCCATCTGAGCGCACATCGTTGTTTCTGTTCCTTGCAACTGACTCGAGACCGAGCATGTGATCGATGCCCAAGTATCTGTTGGCAGGAACACATCGACCACACATAACGTGAGAGTAAACAAAATAGACACAGAGAAAAAAAAAAAAAAAAGAACCCAGGCTCTGCGCGGGCTCTGCCTACAGATGGCGAAAAGCCCTATGTTTATTTTGTCAAGTTACCATAGCAACATGTGATGCTCCAGCCAGCCCCTGGGTTAGCAGTGATCGATTTATCTTGTAACCAGGGACACAGGCTGTGTGGTGGGATCCAGAAGGGGAAGGCAGGGACAGCCATGTGTAAGGCCCTCTCTCCCCTAGAAATAAATCTGGTGAAGCCGCCTCAGTTATCATGCAGCTAAAGTCACTACTGTCTAAAATAACACCCACATGACAATATTTATAAACGTGGGTTTAGGAACAGGACAGAAAATAAGGAAAACAACAACAACAACAGAGTTGCTGATAGGAGCAACGAGCATTTTGGAAAACTAAACAAGAGGCTGCCAGGAGCTGGCATCTGGAGCCACCCTGGGGATTCTGTGTCCTTCCATGACTGTGTCGGGGGCTTGTTGTCCACACAGCTTGGACGTTGCTGTTACTTTTTCAACAGGCTCCCACTGGGGTGAAATTTGGGGGGGGGGGGAGGCAGGTGTCCTTTTAAAATCCATTCCCTGGAAAATTAAACAGCAGCAGGTGGGGCCCCTGCCACACACACAGGGGACAGACAGCACATCAGTGGCCTTCCCACCTCTGGGCTCCCAACATAACCGACTCATGGAAGGTGCAACGTGGTACACTGGGATTTACTCTCCGGGACCAAATGTGGCCTTCCCTGGAGCCAGACTGTCCTCGGCACCGGGTCCTGGGAAAGGCCACAAGCCGCTCCACAAAGCGGGGGTCTGTCTGCCTTTGTTCTAGCTCAAGAGAGCTGAGCACAGAAACGGATCACCCAACGCTCAGAACTCAAGGATCAAGTGATCGAGTGATGACAGGTCATCTGTTTTTTCCTGCCATTGGCAACCTGTTTTGTGTCCAGGGAAGAGTTATGGTCGCGTCGGGCACGGATGACTCTACAGACTCAGCACAAAGCAAAAAAAAAAAAAAAAAAGGATAAAATGATCGTTGCGCTCTCGCGCTTGGCTGGTCACCGAGGGGGTCTCGCTGCCTTCCTCGGGCTACAGAGCCTGTGGTCTCCACTCAAACGGGAGAAAGTGAGTTGGGGGGGGGACGCCCCAAGTCACAGGCAAGTTGCAGATAAATCTGCGCCTCGGGAAGACGTGGAATGGAGAACAGCGAGGTTGCCCACCCACCCAGGTCCGCGCGGATCCGGGCTGCACCGCCTTGGGTGCGTCCTGGGGACTGGAGCGGCGACGGCAGAGAGGGGATGGGCAGGGAGGGGTCCACTCGCACCGCCCTGGCCCCTCGCAGTCCGGAACGAGGTCGGCCGGGCGCGCTCCGGGCGCACGGCCAGCCCCACCCCCGGGCGCCGCGCTCGCCGCCTCCGACGAGAAAAGCCAGGTGGGGACGCCCGGCTCGGGACAAAGGATCGGGACGTAGATCCCCGGCGGGCGCCACCGCCCGGCTGGAATCCTCCCGGCGCGTCCAGCCCCTGGCCCCGAACCTCCCCAAACTTCGCAGCCCGGGGCGCGCGGGGAAGGCGCCCCGTTACCTGCGCGGCCATAAAGGACAGATCCATGGTGTCGCTGGTGTCGCTGCCGCCGCCCGCGCTGGAGTCCTCGCTGCCGCCGCTGCGGGTCCAGCCGCCTGCACAGCTGGCCGCGAGCGGGCCGAGCCGCGAGCAGGGACCCCGCACCCCGCCGCGCCGCCCACCTCAGCAGCCCCGGCGTCGCGGCCTCGGCAGCCTCCGCGCTCCGCGCTCCAGACCGACACCCGGCCGAGGCGGGGGGTGGGGCGGGGCGGGGCTCGGGGGCCCGGGAGCCCCTCCACGTGACCGCTCCCAGCCCCACCCCAAGGGCGGGGCCAGGCGGAACCCCCGCGCGCCCAAGATCCCCTCCCGCGTGGGGGCCGCAGGCGGAAGCTGAGGCCGGAGGTCGCCCGGCTGGCGGGAGCGGGACCTCGAGTAAGACTCTGTAGGCGCCCCTTGGGGCTGGCGTGTGTTGCTCGGGGCTTGAGGGTCAGGGTCAGCGTGACCCAGCTTTCTGTGCCAGCTCTGCGCCCCGCGTCGGGTGTGCCTCCGCAAAAGGAGGTTTCCATCCTGGCCGGGGCTGGTCTTTCTTGCCCTGCCTCGCCTGCCTTTCCTGAGCAGACCTTCTGGGTTCCATAAAAGTCGTGAGAGCGGACAGCCATGGTCATTAACCCCTCGCTGAAGGGGGGGCGGTGATGAAGGTTGGAGACACCTGCGAGGGGTGCACCTCGCGCCCCTGCATCCTCGCGGCTCCGTGAAGACGGTGCTCCCGGGGGCGGCGTCTCACCTGGAAGGTTCTCTGCAGACCAAGGGTTTGGGCAGTTACCCGCCTGCCAAGCCTGGCCTTGCTCGGGGAGAGGTGGCGGGCGCCCTGACCTCTCCCGGGACTCGGCTCTGAAGAAAAACGGGACAGGAGGTGAGCGGATGTTGGATGGACCAGCGTCTCGTGGCGTGTTTTGGTTTTATGTTCTTAAATCCAAACCTCCCACCCCTAGCAGCACCCTGTGGTCAATACCTGTCTCGGGTTGTGGGTCCTTAGATAAGAGTCTCCTCACTGAGTTCCCATCCGTTCTCGCAGTTGCTGGGTCCATTATTAGGTCCTGGCCATGAACTGACCTGTTAAACCACAGTGTCCTCGAAGAGAGAAAACATACTGATGTTACCACACTCAGAGTGACGAGGAGGACCAGAGGACTTAGAAGGTTGTCAACAAAAGCTTGAATGGAGGTATTTAAATCCCTCTACTGATGTATAATTTGCATAAATGCCCCTATTTTACACATACAGGTCGATGAGTCTTGATACATATATACACCCTTGTAACCAGAACTATAATCAAGATATAGAACCTTCCACTCACCCCTACCCAAAAGTTCCCTCTTGCTCCTTTGAAGTCACCCACCTTTCTATCACTATGAGTTAGATCTGTCTTTTCTAGATTTCTGGAATCGTACAGATTGTATTCTTTTCTTCGTCTGGCTTCTTCGATTCAGGATGATGTTGTCAAGAATCTTCCATATTGTGGCATGTGTAGGTAGTTATATTTTGGTGCCTGAATACGGTTCCTGCAAATGGATGGACCATGTGTGTTTCAATCTTTTCTCTTGCTCATGGACACTTGAGTTGTTTCCAGGTTTTTGGCGATCATGACTCAAACGCCTGAGAACACTGGCATATAAGTCTTTGTGTAGACATCTTGTTTCCAGTCTCAAATTGGAATGACTTAGTTGTGTGTTTATGATAGACTGCCAAGCCATTTTACAACGTGCTGGTACATTTCACATTCCCACCCACAGTGTATGGGAATTCTAGTTCCTTCCTGTTCCCACCAACACTTGATATTGTCTTTGGTTTTAAGTTTTTATTTATTTTTAGAGAGAGAAGGAGGGACAGCGAGAGGGGGAGAGAGAGAATCCTAAGCAGGCTCCCCATTGTCAGCACAGAGCCCGATGCGAGGCTCGAACCCAGCTCCAACCCACCAACGGCAAGATCATGACTTGAGCCAAGGTCAAGAGGCGGATGCTTAACGGACTGAGTCACCCGGGTGCCCCTTTTGATATTGTTAACTGAAGCCATTCTAGCGGGCCTTGTGGTTTGAATTTGCATTTTCCTGATGACTGGTAAACTCAAACATCACTTTCACTTGCTCACTCTTGGACGTTCATTTGTTTTCTTTGATGATGGGTCTGTGCCAGTCTTTTGCCCATTGAAAAACATTGGATCAATTATCCTTTATTATTGAGTTGTAAGAGTTCCATAAGTGTTCTGGATACAAGTCCTCCGTCAGCTATCTGTCTTAGATGTATTTTTTCTCCATCTGTGGTGTTTTTTGTTTTCTGAATGGTGTTGTTTTGAAGAAAAGTTCTTAGTTCTGATAGAAAAGTTCTTAGTTCTTAGTTCTAGGACCAGGACTAGATTTAAGGAGACACAAATTTCTTTTTTAATTTTTTTAATGTTTATTTTCAAAGGAGAGAGACCGAGCATGAGCGGGGGAGGGGCAGAGAGAGAGGGAGACACAGCATCCGAAGCAGGCTCCGGGCTCTGGGCTGTCAGCACAGAGCCTGATGCAGGGCTTGAACTCATGAGTGGTGAGATCGTGACCTGAATTGAGGTAGTCAACCAACTGAACTACCCAGCCGTCCCAAGAAGACACGAATTTTAATGTGGCACAGACTCTCATGTGCCACTCTTCACTTATGTGACCCTGGGAGTGTCTCCTTAAATTTTTTTAAGCTTATTTATTTATTTTGAGAGAGACAGAGACCGAGCGAGCAGGAGAGGGGCAGAGAGAGGGAGAGAGATAGAATTCCAAGCAGGCTTTGAGCTGCCCGCTGCAGAGGTCGATGCGGGACTTGAACCCACGAACCATGAGATCATGACCTGAGTCAAAACCAAGAGTCAGATGCTTAACCAACTGAGCCACCTAGGCACCTCTCCTTAAAGTTTGATTCTTAAGCACCTTGTTGGCCTCTCCCACTGACTGGTAAGCCCCTCACAGGCAGATCTGCACATTAGAAATACCACTCTGTGGTTTTGCCCTGGGCGACCTCGTCCAGGCGTGTGATGATCCAGCGAGGACACCCAGACCTCAGCCCTGAGCTCCCGATGGGCACGTCTGTCTGTCTACTCAGCACCTTCTCCTGGATGGCCAATGGCATCTCAAATTTAACCTGACCAGGACTCAGCTATGATTGCCCCCTTCTATCCGGCTGCTCACAGGCAGATAACGTCACTCCCCAGGTCCTCCCTATACAGTTCTGTGTGTTGTGCACTGCACAAGGGGGCACGGCAGATAGGCAAGCGGGAGTTAAAATTCAGCCGTGTCCCTCTGGTGGAATCTTGTGTGTGATAAGGGGCTATGTCTATCTAGAAAGAGGGGTGTCTTTGCTCTTCTCCCCAGAGCCCTCGTAAGGACCAGTAGATCCGGTCTTCTCCCTTACACCCCACTAACCCTCTCATTCGCTGTGCTCCGTCCACATTGGGCTCCCTTCTGTCCCAGGAACACCCCAAGTGTGATTCCTGCAGGGACACAGCCTCTGCTATCCCTTCTGGCTGCACCTGTCTTTCTCCAGATCTTTCCTTTGATGCTTCAGGTTTCAATTCAAAAGCCACCCTTTCCAGGGGGCCTTCCCTGGCTTAAGCAATCTGTCCTTAAAATTAAAAAACACCATTTTTTTCCCCATAGCATTTCTCCACTTTCTAAATGTATTTACTTGTTGGGAGAGGCAATGTGCCAGGGCCCTGAGCATCCAGGTTTCAAGGCACCAGCAGGCACTAGGTCGTGGCAGCTTGGCCTGGGGACAGAGGAAGGGGGCGCATCTATACGTGGCACATTTAGAGGATTTGGGTCCCAGGGACGGTCTCCAGACCACCCTTATGCCCAGTACTGGAATGGAATCCAGGTGCACGGAGAACTAGGGATCCTGTGAGGGGAAACATTCTATTCCCTAAAAGGCTGTCGGCCTGAAGGCCACCACAGAGGGGTGCCTGACCCTGACATTTCGTCTCGCCTCATCCGGGACCTAGAGAGAGAGGGCGGGGGCCACAGTGACCCTGGAGGGGATTCCCTCCCTTCCTGGGAGGCCCTTAAAAGGGTTTAAGAATTCGTGAGCTTCTCACGAGCGACTTGATAAATTTTTCAAGGCACGTCACAGGGGCAGAGATGGCTTAGGACCCACCCTGCTTCGAGCAGGCCGAGAAAATTGAGGGCAGCGGTGGAGGCAGCAAAATGCACAGGAAATCCTGCTCCCCTTCGAGGCCTGCCTCCACTGTCCCTTCCCTGCCAACCTTTGTTGCATGACACACTTCTTCTGGCCATTCACTAGGTGATCCCTAGCCCGCCAGCGCCTGGGTCACCAGGCGGATTCCTCGTGAATCTCGTTCTCTGAAAGAGAGGCTTGCAGTCAGCATTGTCCATGCTTCGCCGATGACGCCGGCTCACCTTCTGATCAGAACTGAGCATTCTCTTCCCCAGGCCTCCCTCAGACGGTGCGATTCAGCTGCATCCCATAACAGTGTTTTCTGAGCACCTATACGATGCTCGGCGTAGAATCTCGAATACTTTGCTTCCGAACCTCAAAAAAAGAATAGCCTCAGAGGGGTTAAGAAACTCGCTCAGGTCACTGAGCAGACATGGGCCGAGCCAGGATTTGAACCCCGATCCAGCCAACGCAGAGTCCGCATGCCTTCCACGCTACGGTTCCTGCCCGTGAGGACCCTAAACGTCAGTCAGACCAGCGCGAGAGCAAGTCATCACAAAGTGACGAGGGATTCGTTCATTCTTTCTTTCGTTCGACAAGTATTCCGTTCGTCCATTCAGTATGTTTCCCGAACACCTGCCGTGTGCTGGGGACTGTGTGCCGGAAGGAGTGGAGGCAGCAATGACAAGGAGCTGCGGTAGCATCCAAAGCCCCCTACTGGGGGAGCCTGAAGAGTCTTGGGTTTGAATCTTAGCTCTGCCACTTGCTAGCTGGAAGCCATGAGGCAAGCTACTTGACCTTTTCTGACCCAGAGTCTTCATTCCTGAAGACGGAAGACTGGATGAGTTGGTGGCTAGGGGACCTAGCACTGCGTCTGGCACATAGTAGGTGTACTGAGTGGAGGAAGGTTAAATCTGGCACGTAGTAGGCGTACTGCCAGTGGACGGAGAGAAGGAAGGTTAAAGTCCGCCGGGGGAAGGGAAGGTGCTAGTTTTA